TAAACCCTAAACCCTAAACCCTAAACCCTAAACCCTAAACCCTTAACCCTAAGCCGAAACTCTGAGGGGAGGTCGAATGGTAGAAGATGTCGGGATCCGCTGGGATCATAACGGCCCCGGGAGAGAGCGAAGCAGCGGCGTAGGGTTTAGGGTTTAGGGTTCAGGGTTTAGGGTTTAGGATTCAGGGTTCAGGGTTCAGGCTTCAGGCTTCAGGGTTGAGGGTTCAGGGTTTAAGGTTTAAACCTCAACCCTATAAGCTCTAAAGCACCCAAACGCTTCGAGAAAGTTAAAGGTTTAGGGTCTTTGGGTGGCTGTAAGACGTTTGGGAACTGTCGGGCCTTGTGCTATTGACGATTCCGATGCATGACATTAGACTCGCAACCGGAAAAAGGGTGGGGGGGTCCTACAACAGGGGCGCCCCTTTTTTATCCCCAAATCTAGTCCGTGGACTCCCCTTTAAACCGGACCCCTAGCATGGGAAGGTGATCCGGGTGCCGCAAAGCCGAGCCGTCCAAGGTGCAGGGTTTACGGTTTAGGGTCTAGGATTTCGTGTTTCAGGCTTAGAGTGACAACCTGATTGGCTTCTTAGGAAATGCATGGAAGAAGGTGTGGGGGCTTCTGACCCCCTAAAGGCCCTGAACCCATCCCAAAAGTCGAAATGGCCCTTTGCACCCGCAACCTTACATGTAGTTTAGGACCCTAACCTCTTTAAACCCTAAGCCCCAAACCCCAAACCCTGAACCCTAAACCCGAAACCCTAAACCCTTACCCCAACCCTAAATTACTAAACCCTAAACCCCAAACCCCAAACCTTAAACCCTAAACTAGGGGTTCGGGTTCAGGGTTTACTGACAGCTCCTTCTCGAGGCATTGGTGAGGCACCTTGCGCCTCCCTTGGAATGAGATGCCGCTCTTGGGGGGGGGGGGGGGGTTCAGGGTTCAGGCTTTGGGGCTGAGTGTTTAGGATTTAGGGTTTTCAGGGTTTAGGGAGTTTCGCCTAAGCACCCGTCCGAAGCACCCGTCAATTCGGATGATAGGGCCCCTAGATGCAGATACTGAGGATGCAGCTCAAAAACTTGGAGGGCTTTAGGGCTTTGGGCTTTCGAGATGGGATGCGGCATGAAGCTTCTGTTGAAGGAAAGCCCAAGTTCGTGTCAAGATTGAGGCTGTAGGGCTTAGGGGCTACAATCTAGAGTTAGAGACCACCACATGATAAGAGATCCTATTCTGAAAGTCACCTTCTAGTGCCTGTCAGTGGCGCCTTGCTTTGGCATGTACCCCGGAGCCCATCAGAGAAGGATGCAAGTAGGGTCCCAGAAATTGAGCTTCGGGTCTTGTACACAGGGCTTAGCTTTGAGGCAGATCCCCTTCAGAATCAAGATCCCAGATATGGGGGGCCAATCTTGCGTCGTGGGACGGCATCTCATGCAACAGCCATGGCAATAACGTGTTCAGGCCCAGTGTTTCGACGTTTTGGGGCTCAGGCTTCGGGCGCGAGCGCGTGAGAATTTTGCGCTCCGGCTGGCGACAAGGGGTGTGCCGTGGGGGGCTCGGAAAGCCGCGGTATCTGCTTCAGTCTCAAGCTGCCCACAACCCTGAACTCTGACTAAACTAAACCTTATAAACCCTAACGAAGCCCGAACCTTATGGAAACCTGGTAGCTTTGCAGCCGTCCCCTGGGCAGAAGCTCTTGTGGATCTGCCCAGCACGCCCCTGATGCATCAGCTGAACCGAAGGAAGTGGAGATCATGCTTCAGCTATCCTCCTTCGCCCTAACGCCTGCAGCCGAAAGCCTAGAGCCTAAAGCCTAAAGCCTAAAGCCTAAACCCTAAACCCTAAACCCTAAACCCTAAACCCGAAACTCTAACCAAAACCCAAGCAACAAACTCGAAACCCTCAGAGAAGGGATGGGACCTGTGCGCGAATCAGAATTCAGCAACTCAGGCGAGGAGTCAAAAAGGCACTAGGGTTTTTGGTTTCGCGTTGAGGGTTTAGGGTTTAGGGGTTTTGGGTTTCAGGCTGAGTCTGGAAGTATTCTAAGTACGATCGACTACTGGATCGTCCTTCCCAACGGTTGCGGGGAAAATGAACCCCCTCACATTCCTGCCAGGGGTTGGCACAATCCGGCAGATCTCTGTCTGACATAGGGGCCTGAATAGCTAGTTCAGGGTTTTGGGGAGAATTATGGTATTAGTATAAGGGGACCATATAAGGGAATAATATTGGGGGTTATTATAGCATTCTTCTAAAAGGGACCATAAGGGAATCATATTAGGGGTCATTATGGTACTAGAATAAAAGGGACCATAAAGAATCATAGTAGGGGCTATTGTAGTATTACTATACAGGGACCATAAGGGAATACTACTAGGGGCTATTGTAGCATTCTTAAAAGAAGGGACCATAAGGGGAATCATATTCGGGGCTATTACATAAGGGAATCATATTAGGGGCAACTTGTAGTATTGCTATAAGGGGACCATAAGGGAATAATATTAGGGGCTGTTATAGCATTCTTTAAAAAAGGGGCTATAAAGGGACCCTAAGGGAATAACGAGTACTTGGCTACACTCAGAAGGGTAGCTAAAAATGAAAATTTTAGCTGCCTTATTCAGAAACCAAATAAACCCAAAAAGGCTAAGGATCTAAGGTTACAGTAAAGTACCACAAAGAATGCTATAACAGCCCCTAATATTATTCCCTTATGGTCCCCTTATAGCAATACTACAAGTAGCCCCTAATCTGATTCCCTTATGTAATAAGAGTAGTAATTCGTCCGACCCCTAAGGTTACTGGGGCGCCTCGTCGCCTCCGCAGGGCCCAGGTAGGTGTTGCAAGCCGAGATGCTTAGGTTTAGGGTCTAGGGTTGAGGGTTTAGGGTTTAGGGTTTAGGGTTTAGGGTTTAGGGTTTAGGGTTCACATATGGGCATGGGCGAATCTAACTTCTCTGCTGGGGGAGAGTGGGAGTCCTAGAATACAACAGCACACAGGCCAATACTCCAACTGGCCCCGTTCGGGACCCACCTTTGTGGCTTGAGTTTGCACTCCGCCGCGAATAACAGAGCTTGACTCCAGTACGCACAGCGGCATATCCAGGCTGACGTGTAAGCCCCCGAGCTGTTTGGCTGCTCCCTCTCGCTCTTGCTCTCTGCGCATCTCCGCACTCCCTGGCACTCCTTCCCGCTCCCTAAACCCTAAACCCTACACCCTAAACCCTAAACCCTAAACCCTAAACCCTCAACCCTAAACCCTAAACCCTAAACCCCAAACCCTACACGCAAGTAAGTCTGGGACAGAGATCGAGCTCTCGTGCATAGTGCCCCGAATTCACATCACGTCATCGAGTGCGCAGCAGCTAGCGCACCCTGGCCGCGGTGCTTGGAGGGGCTTGGGAGGGAGAAGGGCTTTGGGGGGGTTTAGGGTTTAGGGTTTAGGGTTTAGGGTTTAGGGTTTAGGGTTTAGGGTTTAGAGTTTAGGGTTTAGGGTTTAGGGTTTAGGGTTTAGGGTTTAGGGTTTAGGGTTTAGGGTTTAGGGTTTAGGGTTTAGGGTTTAGACTCACAGTTGCCGGGCCCCAAAAGTGCACAAACTCAAGCGGCCACTGGTGTGGAATGTCCCCGAAATTGTTCCAACCAAGGGTCTCCCTTCCTGGGTTATGTTGTGCTAGGATTTCTTTCTGATTGTAGTACTCGAGTTGCGAAGAACTCTTTACCAAGATGGCTCCCGTGACATACTTTCGGGCGGCCGCCTGATTCCTACCGGTGCTCCTCCCGGCCGGTGTATGCATCACCGCAGGGACCTCAGATTTAGGGCTCGGGGTGCGCTTCTTTTCCTCTATCCAACTGTGCCGGGAGTGATGTCCATCGGGCGCCTGACATAGTCTCCACAAGTGAAACTTGGCCGTCCATTTCGGCTCGCGACATCTATTGCGCGCCCATCTTCCCACACAAACGAGCGGTGATCTGTGTGACGGCTCTTGAACCATAAGACAGAGCCCTGCAGCCAAAGAATAAACCCTAAACCCGAACCTTAACCCGGACCCCTCCAAAGCCACAGCTCTTGCCAAGAGAGTACGACCGTCGCTTGATGAACCGGAATAAAGCATGAGATCCTTAACCAGAACCCCTAGACTAAACCTCAAACCGCATATTCCCCTATAACTGATCTAGCCGTTGCTACAAACCCTGGGTTCGGAAGAACTTTCCGTCAGACCACACATCCTCAATGTGGCACTGCGCACGTGTATCGGCCAATGATAGGTGCTGGAGCTCATGACGCCTGTAGGCAACTAGGGAGGTGCATGCCTGCTGTTTAAGCACCCTGACGTTCATCGGGTTTTTTGGCAGTGCCACACGACGTGAGATAAAAGCGCACCCACGACGCCTTCGACTGACTCCGTAGCGCCTGGGATCTCCGATGCTCAGGTGAAGACACGCGAGATCAAGTGACCTGGCGTGATGTGACCTGTGACAAAGCATACTCGATTCTCGGACACCAAGACTTCATGCCTGATGCCCATGCACACCGTTCCCCCCCTCAATCTTACTGGGGAAGGAACCACATCCTCAATCAAGCCAAGCGCCCAGAATCACTGCTCAGGAGTCCTCCTCATCTCTAAAAAGTTCCAAAGAGCCAAACCCTAAACCCTAAACCCTAAGCCCTACAGCCGCTTCTTAAGCCCAAAACTACGCCGACTATAACTGCAGCAAACTCCTGCCTTCGGGCAATCAGCCAGTCGAGGCCGCTACTGATGGCAAGACAGCACGGCGCTTTATGCGGGGTTAGGTTAGGGTTTAGGGCTTAGGGCTTAGGGCTTATAGGGCTTAGGGTTTAGGGTTTAGGGTTTAGGATTAAGGCTTAGGGCTTCGGGTTTAGGGTTTAGGGACCCCATAGCCTGGCACCCTTGCCAACCGGTTCTCACGCAGCAGGTTCGCTATGAAAGCGAGGCCGCTGCATCTGCATCTTTACACTCGATCATGCTGCATCACGCAAAATTTACACGGCTACACCACCCAGAACATGTCCACGTCGTCCACGTCACTGAGTCGGAGGGGTGCTCCACTTAGCCACATGCTCGCTTTCTGCGGGACAAACATCATCTCATCTTCAGCCACATGCTTGGAGAAGGAGAAAGGAAAGTAGTCCATGCCTGGTGGTTCAGGGTGTTGGGTTTGGGTAGTTCAGGAGGCATGCCATGGGGTGGGGTCGCTATTTGTGTCTTCCAAGGAAGGCAGGAAGAGGAAACCAATCATGCTCAACGACATCTGAGACACCCAATTCCGTTTCACTTCCGCTGGAGCGGCGATATTCTTCGTTTGGTGGCGTGCTCACCTCATGATCGAACTCACCGATGAGGCTCATGGGCAAGGGTATCTGGTCCAACCCTGGGGGTGTTACGGCCAGACCCGTGTCCGCGCGCGAATGAGCCGAGAGCCCGCATGATGGGGTAAATGGCTGTGTATCTGCCCCGCCCATGCGACTCTTGGGTGTGACCTGAGCGTATGATGACATCATGCCGGTGGCAAGGAAGCAGGAGTGACCTGGTTCTGGCTGGCTTGCCGGGAAGGTCGCAATCTGCATCTCCGTGAGTCTTGGCTGCTTCTTCTCCGGGACCTCATGCACAAACCTGCACTCCTGCCCTCGCGAGCACATACCAAACTTCACGAAGTCGTAGCACGGCTTGGGGCTGGGGCGTAGCTCCGTTGCCGAGTGGGCAAACGTGCAATCCGCCCCCATCTTGCATTCATTCGTCCGCCAGAACCTGCACATCCGGGTGAATCGCACGGCCTTCTTCTGCTCGGCCTTGGTCAT